TCTTATGTTGAGAAGGTACTGTCAGTCATCTCTTGTAAATACAATACACTCATTGTTAGAGCTTATCTCACTTTGACATTATGGCATCTTTCAAACTAGTATACCTTTGTGAGCCTTTCCACCCATTGCTCACTGGTTTTGAGTGGGGAAGCCTTTGACACACTACCTTGGGAGAGTTAGGAAAGTTTTAGAAAAGACTTGTTTCTCAACTTCATCACTTTGGTATTTGGTTCTCCCTTTGTTCATTCTGTAAGTGCACCTTCTTATATCTCTGAGTGTCTTGTGGTTTTTATTTCCAACTGTCTGTGTTCAAGAGCGGGTTGCATGCTACATCTCCTATAACTGCATGAATCAAACTTGTATATGAGCCTTGGGGGCCTCTTCGCCCATTGCTAATACGATTTGAAAAGGCATCCATTAACTTGCCCAAAAAAATTCCTACATTGGAAATTTGCCACTCCAAGTGTGCACCCTTTGGTTGAATGACTTGGTACTTAGGATTTAACATATGTCCATAATCTGATGCATTTTTGCCTTATTCCTCCTTTTGCATTTTTTGTTTTTGTGGGATTTCTTGCATTGTAATAAACTATTGATCTTTATATTTTCATGATGCTGTGGAAGTTATTGCAGAATTCAGGATACCTCCCAAGTCAATTTAGGTTTCAAATTCCTGTGTTCCAACGAGGTTGTAAACATTTCACTTCCAATTTACAAGATAAATTTTCACTTTCAATCCAAGTGTGCTCCCTTTAGTTGAATGTCTTGGTACTTCTTAAGGTTTAACAAATCTCCATAATTTGATCCATTTTTGCCTTATTCCTCCTTATGCCTTTTTTGTCTATGGGATTTCCAGCATTCCAATAAACTATTGATCTTTAGATTTTCATGAGGTGGAAGTTATTGCAGCTTATTACAACTAGTGGAGAAGTTTTTTGTTGTTCCACAAATATGATATTCTTTTGTGCCATTAACTTCCTCTATTTCATCTTCTGTTTATCTATTTCATTTGTTGTCTACACATACCATCCTTGTTGATGCATTGCCATATTCTATAGAAATTTCTTCTGTTGTACAGTTTTTGGACCGTTGAAATTGATGAAACTATGTTTGTCGTAGCCTAACAGCATTACACTAACAATTTCCATTGCCAATCAAGATATAGCACCATCTTTCTAGGAAAGTGGATCCATTGGGTATGTTCTGTTTGCCTCTTGTTTGTAGTCAATTTATGAATCTCTACGTAACTTCTCCCTCTAGTCTTAAAAAAGAAATCTGGTGTTCCATCTGAAATTATGGGACAACTAAACTTTCAATGAGCTGATCTCATGGTGCTGGACTTATTTAGAGAAGTTTACATTACTGTTCATAAAAAACATAAATAATTTGCTAAAATCTGATCCTAAAATTACCTTGATGTGTAATATAGGGGTTTAGGTTGTCCATTGTCTAGACTCCCATATAATTAAAAATTCTAGGGAATAAAGATAGCATTAGCACTAATTCTATTGAAAATCCATTGTCTAGAATGGGCCTTTTGAGAAATGAGAGCCATCCCCCAACAGTGGATAGTACAGATCAATCTTTAGCTCTAGGTAAATTACAATGACACCCTTTGGCTTTTGGTAGACAATTTTAACTCTTAAGAGGATTTATTTATCCTTTAGAATTAAACTTATTGACCCTCCAAATTCTCAAAATTGAAAAGAGATAAAATAGAGAGAGGAGAGGGGGCAGTCCCCTCGGCCTAGAACCCCCCCTTTTTTTCTTGGATAGCCACCTCTTTCCTTGCAGACTCCTCCCCTGGCAAGAATCCAACTTGCCAAAACCCACAAAAAAATAGCTGCAAACCCCCTACAGAACCAAAATTTTCTAGTTACTTTGTTTAAAATTTTCAAGGCTCTTCTTGATTGAGTTATCAGTTACATTGATATTTGATTATGGTTAAGGACATCAAATCCTTTTCTGTACATATCTGTTGGAACAATTTCTCTAGTTATGTTGATGGTTGGTAGGTTCTTGATTATATCGTCTGATGTTTTTATTTCAAAGAGTTGTTTGGTTTGACCACCGGGACCAAATTAATTAGTGTGTCCAAATCACTGATTTAACTCACCAGCCTCCACCGCATCCAGTTCATTAATTTGTCTTAAGTCATTGATGTAAATCCTTGGAGTTTGGTTGACTCAATAGGGTTATTTACTTCTTTTGAATTGTTTTCGCAACAGATTGCCATCTATAGATGCAAATTTCCAGAGATGTGGTGTTTACCTTTGCTAGACATCTTGGAATCATTTGACTGCTAGTGGATTAGTGAATTAATGTCTTTATATTTATAAAGGGGGACTATTTTTGCCCATATGAGGGAGGGTATTAAGAGAGCTTGTATCCCACATCGGACAATTAGGACCATCAAGGATGGTTTATATACTTGAAGGCCACTCCAACCCAAGAATCAAAATTTTGTTTCAGTGCATTGTTTTAGTCACATAAGAAATAGAAATGTTTCGACGTGTTTCAAAATTGTTGACCCATTTCTAAAACAGAATGAAAAAAAATAAATATTTTAAGAATTATTTTTTCAAAACACTAGACAAAATAGACCAAAATATTTTGAAACATTCTGAAATAACTGTGCAAATATATTGAAATATAACAAAATATTTCAAAATATTATGGAACACCTTGAAGTATTAGAATTTTGATTCCATCAGATTTATTTCGGTCTCTTTGGAAATAAAAACGTTCCAGATGTTTTGACTGTTTCGAAATGATATTTTGATCCTTGCTCGAACCATTGCCAAGTGGTTTGAGCTGGATGCTCTAACACTATAAGTGTCGATGACGTTGAGAAGTACCTCTATGTACTTGATATGCATGGGCTATGGTTAAATGGGTGTAAGAATTTCGAGAATGCAATATCGAATTGGTAATTGCCAATTAATTGGATGAAAGCTCAGTTGATGTACTCTAAGGCTTTATCTCTAATATGAATAAAACTTTATTTTAATTTTAGCTTCAGGCATACCATCTTATCATCAACTTATTTATTTAAGACAAGATAATAGAAAATTTGTTTGTGGAGATGGTTTGAAATAAACGACTAATCAATGGTGTCATTTCTCCATTTGTGCTTTTCATACTCTTTGAACTACAATAGTTGGACAGCTGAAGCTAATGGTTTTTAGCTGAATTGCAATTTTTAGTAATATCTACATTTATGTCTGATTTTTTCTTTTTATCCCATAAGATCAATTTATTAAAAAATGAAATGCCTGTAATTTGTTTATCAGCAAGTTCTAGCTTCTTAGATGACAAATTTCTTTACGAGTATAGTTTGTCTCAGAAGAAGTGGTCATTTCAATTGGATGTCATTCTTGTTGACCATTTGAAAATTTGGAATTGATGAGAAGCCAGAATTTGCCTTTGAATGCCCCGATCTAGAGAACAACAGGTGTCTATTTGGAAAGTGATATATTTATCCTTCTTATTTTAAGATGTCATACTATTCTACTTCTTGAATGAGATGTTATGTATTTGTGCAAGGCTATTATAAAACCATTTAGCATCTTAGGTGCTTTCTTTCTCATCAATTTTTTAAAAATTTATGTATGTGGTCTTGTGTAGAATATTGATGAAACCATGGATCAAAATATCGTTTTGAAATGGTTGAAACGTCCAAAACGTTTCTATTTCCAAGGAAACCGAAACGAATTAGTGATGGAATCAAAATTCTAAGGGCCTGTTTGGTTTGCATCTTAAAAAACAGTATCCGAAAATAGTTTTTGAGAAGAATTTTAAGAAAGTGTTTTTGAAAATTTGTAGATTGTAAAACCTGTTTGGTTATATATTTTTGAAAATAGTTTTAAAGAACAAAAAATTGTAAATTCTGTTTGGATAATAATCCACAAAACTAATTTTTAACTTATTACTTTTAACCAAAAAAAAAATCACACTTTTATACCTTCTCTCTAGCAGTTACTCCACCGTCTAGAGTCTTCTTTCTCTCTCCCCACATTATCTTCTCATATAACAAGAACAACCACACACACAGAGCCAACAAACAACTACCCACACATACAACCATCGCACACCCACCCACACATACAACCATTGCACACTTATATTCATATACATCACATAATACATAGACACACACATACATACATACACAGAGATCTGTGTATATACACAAATATGTTCAAGTCTGTTGTAGAGAGAGAAAAGAGGGGATGAATTGCGTGAGAAAGAAAACACTATAGTTGTTCGTTGTTGACCTTTGGCCTTCGTCGGTGCTCATATATTGTCGTTGAACTTTGGCGAAGAAGGAGAAGGCAACTAGAGTCAATCGTTGATGCTCCTATTTTGTAGTTAATGGGATTCGATGGTGGGATCTGATTAATTGGGCATATTTCTCGTGTTTTCTGTGTTCCTGAAATTTTTTTTCCAAATTCTGCCAAAACACCCCCAACATGTTCTTTAAAAAACCATCTCAATTCCCACTTTTTTTTGAAAATTAGAGATTGAAAAAATCTAACCAACATGTTTTCCTTGTTTTTAGAGTTTTGAGAACAAAAAATTGTATTCTAAATACAAACTAAACATACCCTAATATTTCGAGGTGTGCTATAATATTTCGAGATTTTTTATAATATTTCAATGCTTTTGCACAATTGTTTCAGAATGTTTTAAGATATTTCAAGATACTTTGACATATTTCAATCAATGTTTTAGAAAGATAATTTTTAAATTTTTTATTTTTTTCATTGTGTTTCCGAAACGGGTCGAAATATTTTTGAAAGACATCGAAACGTTTCTGTTTCCTACTTGACCGAAACAATACATCAAAACAAAATTTCGATCCTTTGATGAAACATGTTTCATTTTCATTATTTTATTTCTTGCTTCCCAATCACACTTTTTCTATGGTTAATTTTTTCTGCTAACATAACATGAACAAATAAAACACTTATCTCCAAACTTCAAGACTGAGAGAAGATATGTCAACAAATGATGGAAAATTTGAGCTAAAAGATGATGCTAGCAATTGTAGCAACAGCTTGTCCTCAGAAAATGGTAAGCTAATGGATGCCAATGCAGTCCTGCCAAGGAACCAAAGAACTTCACAAATGGAGACCCTAAAAGTACCATGTTCTCCTGAAATGCAAAAGAGACATGGGTGGGTGGTATTGATGAAACGAAGTAAGACCATTTGAATTTATGTTGTTCACCCCTTCTTATTACTTAGTGTGGTCTAGTCAAAATCTCATCATAAGACTTTCATTACTTTTGCAAATTTCAAACATAAGCAGGATAACTCAAACTTCTATTTCATGTCAAAAGGGTGTAAAGGTACATTCTTAACTTTTTATTTTTTAGCCTTTTTTCTTGAACTTGTATTTATCTTGCCTTTGGTATTTCTCAACAAGGTTTGAATCAACATCAATCAAGGTTTTCATGGAAGGCATATACCATTTTTGCAATTCCAAAATAGAAGATTCTGGACCTAAACAAGGAAGGATTGGAAGTAAAGTAGAAAAGAATAGTCCCGACCCATCTTGCCAGGTGATTCTTGAAAGCTATGTTCTGCAGCTTTTATGTGTGCAAGTACTAAAGGAATGATCTGAACAGGGCATTGTAAAAAAGGTATGATAGTTCTTGACATTTGGTTTATAGAGGATCCTATTGAAATATTAAATGAACTGAAAAAACGAAATTAATCTTTGGCTCATTTCAAAGCTTTTGTGCCCAATCGCATTGTCATAAGTTGTAGAGGTGTCTTTTGCATGACAAGACATAGTTATTGTGTATACTATATTCTTCTTTTATCAATGTGTTATATTTGTTATTGCATTTGACTGCGTAATAGTGTGCATATTTTTCTTTTATCCCTATGCTTTTGTACATTTTTATGTTGTTTTTGTGTGTTTATTAGGGTCTACGTGTGTGTGTCTATTAGTGTATGTGCATTTTCTTATCAATGTTATTGTGTGTGTTTTCTTTTATCAATTTGTTTTTGTGTATTTGTTTATGTATGTTTTTATTGTAATGTTTGTAGCTCCCCTAGACGACACGACATTATCGTTCAAATATAGGCGGGTCTTACTTGTGATGGTTCCCAAGGATCCAATGTGATCACTTAGGTATCGTGGAATCTTTATTTTTCTATTGTGTTTTTTATTTGTGTAATGTGTTAGTGTGCGTTTATTACTATGTGTATTTTTAATATTGTTTGTGTATTCATTGTGTTTTAGTGTGTGATTTTTATGTGTTAGTGTGTTCTTTATATGTGTATATGTGTGTATTTTTATAGCGTTGTGACTATTTTAATGTTTTAGACAATTTATTTATGGGTTTAAGGATATGACCAAATCAGTTATAACTCATTCGTTAAACAGGTGGAAAATGAACCGGGAATGGATTACACCCAACTCATCGTCAATCCACCCACAATCCAGCAAAACTTTTGAATTTGTCACCTCTTGCTTTCTGTGCTATGCACACGCACATTGATAATGTAGAGATGGTGAAGATGATAGAGCTACTAGAGTAGTTTGTGTCTTACGTTTACTACCAAGTTTGTACACACAACTTTAGTGCCTTCCGAAAATTGGTTATTTCCGATCATAACTTTTATATGCAACTTCATTGGCCTACAATCGCGGGTAATATTTTGCTTTAATTTATCTCTATTTGGTCATCATGTTAAAAGTTTCTTGTCTGCATCGTAAAATCATGTTTGCATAGGGGTTGTAGGAAAGGTTGTCCATCTTAATAAAATCACACTATTCATACATGCCTATAATGATGTGAGTTGCGTTGTCGCTTATTTAATATTTATGTCAGATTTTCTTGGTCATTGGTCATTTTTAATCTCTAGAAATAAAGGAGGCTATATAACAATGTGAACAGTACTTATAATATTTTTTGTTGTGATATGAGATATCCCTTTTAGTTATAATTTACCCTAAGGAATAGCTAGAGACAAGACCAATGCTACATGTAGGAGTGATAATCCTTATCTATTAGTGGCCAATATGTTTACAAATTAGAGGGTTTGGTAAGTACTCATCCTTAACCCTCACTTACTCCACAAATGCAAACACCACCACCATCATCCTAATAAGAATTCTCCCGCACACTTCAACAAATCAATTGAAAATTCAATTCATATATTTCAACCAACTGAAGGTATATGCTCCAGTAGATCACTCTAAGTCAATGTCGGTTGGACATAGATAGATCACTCAAAGTCTATATTTATTAGTGCGTCTGTGTTGTGCATCGTGTATTGTTCTTTTATCAACGTGTGTTTATTCTTACATTTTACTAAGTATCATTATGTGTATTTTTTTTGTTTTCAGTATGTTTTTGTGTATTTTATGTGTCTAGTTTGTGTGTCCATGTGTTTTTATTAGTGTATGTGTATTTTTCAACAATTTGTTTTTATGCGTGTGCATTTTCTTTTATCAACATATTTTTGTGTATGTGCTTTTAGGTGGATTGTGTGTGGGTGCGGTGTGGCTGCGGTTGTTTTTATTATAGTGTGTGTATTTTTTCATTTTCCAATTTGTTTTAACGTTTTTTTGTGTACAATGTGTGTGGTGCTGCTGGTGAATATTTTTATATCATCTAAGTGTCTATGCGTGCACCTTTTGTGATTCAATGTGTGTGTTAATTTTTTATGTGTCAGTGCGTGTATTTTTATTATATATATCTGTGTATTTTTATTAGTGTGTGACTATTGTAATGATTTTGACTCTTTATTTACGGTTTACAAATTGATCTCTGCCTTTTATGACCAAATCCGTTGCAAGTATTTGTGAATTCTGTCATAAGCAAGGAAGTCTGCTTTACCAAGACTTTTAGTTTCGGAAGTTGATGGGCTAATGTCTTTGTTTAAGAATTCTTGTATGTAGTTGGTTGATATTTGAAAGCAAGTATATGTTTATATGCTGGTCATTTGTTGGATGGTTTCATTTGAAAATGACTTTCCCTTGCTTGGTCAAAGAATTATGGAAAGCTTACCAATCTCAAGAAAGAGGTAGCCACTGAATACTAAGCACCACAAGACGCTAACTGTGGTTAGTAAGGAGTGTTTATCTGTTGCTTCTCAATACGTACGAATAACTTCTTCCTCTAGTCATATCGTTTCCTATATATATCGAAAATAACTTGTAGCTTGTGCAAAGGAGATAATTTCTTTTAAACAGCCGATATTTGATAGGCTTCCACAATTTTAATAATTTAAATTTTAAAACTCTCTTTGACTAGTTTTATCTCACTGATTCTACCTTGTATTTAATGAAGTTATATACTTTATGCCGATAATCATGTTGGTATGTACATATGTCTAAAAATATTTTGGATCTTTATAACAATTCTAAATTTGATACATGGACGATGAACTATCATCCACAATTCATGTCTGTCTCATTATTCAACTGGAAAATGGTGGAGATGACTTGCTTAAGAGCTTTGCAAGAATGTTGTCTTTCTAGTGTTGGACAAACTACTGGCAAAATTGGAGATCATCTACAGGTGAAGGTTTTGTAATGCTTAGTTATGTAATGTGTTTTGTCCCATTTTTGCTTTGTTCTATTGGATTATATGTGGTCTTCTTGACTAATGTAACTTTTTCTTCCTAGAGTGCAAATGCTCCGCATGAAATAGCTAGTTAACGTTCAAAATATCGGGTTTGAGTTTTAGTATATATGTCTTTTGTGTCCTGCCTTATCCCAGCTATTCTTCGTCATTGACTTATTTCACATTTATGCTTGGCCATTGCTTTTTTACATTTATTTCTTTGTGTCTCAAAGGTACTTTCTTGTTTGGTTTAAGAGTCATGCAAACAAGCATGTGTTTGTGAAACATGCCATGGAGGTTTTTGGGATTTTCCAGGGCACTATGGAAACTTGACTTTTCTCGGTCAGTTTATAATGTTGGATAAGTTAAAGCGCATTAGCAAGGTAGTGGTTCTATCTTGTTCTAGATTTCTTGGTCATATTGCCTACTTCGAAACTATTTTTCGATGTATCTTGTAGAAACACTTATCAGTGTTGTGAAAAGCGAGCGCTTAGGCGAGATGCGAAGTGAGCCTTGGTCGCCTTGAACATCCCAGGCGAGCGAGGTTAAGTAATGCGAGAAAAAAGAAAGCCTAGGCGACAAAGTGAGAAAAGTGAACGCCTGACAATTTTTTTATTTTCTCCTCCTCCACCCCCCCCCCCAATCCTTCTTTTTCTTCCTTAACATTAACCAAACTCTAGCAGAGATGATGTTATATATATATATATATATATATATATATATATATATATATAATTTGATTGATCCATCTAACAGTATCATATGATAATCGGTCTTATTATGTTTAGATGATATTAAATGCTCTGTTTTTATGTAAATTGATGTGAATGCTCTTGTTAATCAATTTGTTTGGTCAATCAAATTGATTAATCAATTTTCTATATGCTCTATTTGATTAATCAATTTTTGAGTGCCCTAATTAGTGGTGATATTAATCAATCAAGGTGGAAGTCGAACCCACATTTGCTAGTTTTATATTTAGATGATGTGATTATATCAATTGATTATTTTTAGAATGCAATAATGTTCAATATTTAATATCTTGTCTATTTAAAATATGTTGATTTTTATTATTTTGATTGCATTTAAATATTTTGTAGTTGCAAAGTTAAAACTTAAATATATAGGCGTAATCAAAGTATCAAACTAAAATATTTGCTTATTTTTTATATTGTTAACTTTACTTCGATAAAGTGCTCGCTTTGCTTCTCGCCTAGGCCCTCAAGAGACCGGTTCGCTTTGATTCGCATTACACCTTAAATGACACTGACACTTATTCAAGGAACTTCTCTTGAACAAAAAAAAAATAATAAGCAAAAGCATGTTTGGCTGATATTTTGCAAAGTGATATTTGTGTCTTTATGTGAATAATACATCTGATGCAAATCATAACACAACTTCAAGGGATTTAGTTCAAGTTCCAAGTGGCCCGGTCATGAGAGCACGAGCAAGGAAGTTTAAAGAGGTACTCAATGGACTAATTCAAGAGGCATGGAACACAAGCAAGTTTGTGGAGGCCCATTGACCATGATCCACTTGGGCAACAAAGATTCATCACACATGATTCAAGTTCTAGAAGAATCCAGCTAGGGGCTAAGGCTAAGATTCAATTGGTTTATTGTTGTTAAGGCCTCCAATTTGTCTAAAAGATTAGAATTATTAATAAGTGGGCTTGAGGATGTTTAGCCCACATGTTTTATTTCTTATGAAGTAGGGTTTTCAAAGTTACTGTTCATGCTTCAGTACGTGCACTATTCTTTATTTTTAGGGTCTAATTGTAAGGCTTGTATGCCAAGTACTTTCCTTTTTCTATTTAGGCATGTGCTCAACCATTTAAAGGGCTGAATGTCTTTCCTTTTTTCTTCAAGAGTCTTAGGAAAGTAAGAGATATTTCTTTACCTACAAGTAAGAGATATTTCCTAAGTAGGATAGCTATTTTAGGAAGATTCCAAATCCTTGTAATGACCAGCCTATAAATAGGCATTCAGATCAATGAAAATTTAGATCATTATTCAGCAAATTTTGAGAGTGTTTTCTCTTTGGTTCTTTGAAGAACTAAATGAACTTATCGGAATTCTCCGTGGCATTCACCAACGACTTATCAAACGGGTTTCCACACCGTTTGTGGCGTCTTCCGTTATACCGAGGTTCTTGTTTCACAAACAGGGGGTTGAGGTCTATATACCAAGGTTCTTGTTTGTTGTAAACAACGGGTCAAGGTCTACCATAAAATCTGTTCGTTAAACGATTTTGGGTTCTTTTTGTGGTTGGTTCTCGTTATTTCGGCGGGTATCACATCATTTGGTATCAAAGCTAAGGCTCGAGTTCAGGTTTGCCTGTCACTTAAAACCTTTCTCTTCGTTATTCCTTGTTCCTTTCTTTTCGTTATTCTGTGTTCTTTTAGTTCCTAAAAATTCGGTTCACATACCCTTAGTGTAGCTGAATTTCCTTTACCCTATTCCGCTCGTATTTTGTTGGTTCTACTTATTACAAATTCATATTCTGTTACCACCAAAGTTAGTTGCTGGTCAAAAAAAAAAAGGGCAGAAAGAAGTCAAAAAAAAAAGAGCCAGAGTCACAAAAAAAAAAAAAAAGCCAGATTGTTTGTGTTCATCCATTGTCCAAAAAAAAATAAAAAAAAATCAGATTGTCTTGCAAATTTGTGCTTCTGAAAATCTAATCAGCTGTGTTCCTTGAATTCTTGCTCTTCAAACCTGAAATTCCTTGATGAGTTCTTGGTGAATTGCTGCTGGAAATATTGAGAATTGTTTGTTTAGTTTCAGAAGAACTGAAAGAGAAATTATTGAGTCGAAAAAGGCAAGAGTGGTGAGAACATTGGAGGGTAAAAAAAAAAAAAAAAAGCCATGTATTTTGAGTGAAACACGAGTGTAGAGTGATCCACATTCTTGAGTGTAAACATGTAAGGGAGGGAATTGTGAGGTTCTTTTATTATTATTATTATTATTTTTGCTTCTAACTTTGTTTTGCAGCAATCATGTCTCACAACAATGATACGGATCTTGCTGACCCAAAATTGTTTATGGAGGCCATGATGAGTGAGATGAGGCATGTGATGAAGTTGGAACTAGAGCAAGTTCATGAACAGATAGATTAGATGGAGAAAACACAAGAGAGGCAGCCACAAAACGTCCCTAATGTGCGTAGAAGGGAAAGAGTTCAACCAGGGAAGTAAAGGAAGAAGATGAAGAGCCTTATGGGGCTGGTTTTAATGAAGAAGATGATCAGAATTCTGTTGTTAGGAGACATGTAGGGCAGTTTAGAGAAGCTAGGAACCGGGAAGATAACAACTTGGGTGGTATTAAGATGAAAATTCCATCCTTTCAAAGTAGATCCGATCCTGAAGCATACCTTGAGTGGGAGAAGAAGATGGAGTTCGTATTTGACTGCTATAACTATTTTGATGCAAAGAAGGTAAAATTAGCAGTGATTGAGTTTTCTGACTATGCTATTACTTGGTGGGATCAGCTTGTTATAAACCGGAGGCGAAATAGAGAACGTCCAGTAGAGACATGGGAG